TGAATATTTTGTTTTGAAGTTGACTAATCAAAACTAATTACTAATTACTAAACACTATAAATGTAAATTAAAAAAATAAACTACTTTGTTTAGCACTTTAGCTACTGCCTATTGCTAGGATTAAGAGATAAAGGTTTTGAATATTTTGTTTTCAAGTTTTTTTATTAATATTATATATATATATATATATATATATATATATATATATATATATAATATTATACGGGAAGTCGGGGGCGGGGATCGGGGTCGGGGCGGGGAATGTCCTCCCCGTCCCCGTCCCCGACCCCGGCGAAGACGGGAAAATTCTCCCCATCCGGACCCCGGCGGGGGATGGGGAAATTCTCCCCATCCCCTCCCCCGTTCCCTGAAAAAATTCCTCGTACCCGCCCCCATCGGGGCAGGTTGAATTGACATTCCTAGCCTTCACCACCATTGTTCACCAACTTTTATCGGCGTTGTTCACCAGCCTTCATCGCCGTCATTTTCTAAAACTCGACACCGGCGTATTTCAGCCCTTTGCCCAACAAATTGTTTATTGAATGAGGGATTAATACAATAATACCTGGTGCATATATTCATCATAGATGGATGAACAGTTTCTATAATAAGTCCATTTTCATCCTTACAGGTACAGTATATGACACTGAAATGCAAAGAAGTTCTTTTAATGAGATCTATTAGGACTCTATGTATTTGAGTTTGATTATGATTCCCTATCCAGTCTCTCTGAGACTTCCTTCTTATATATACCTGTAATCTGTACATTGTATTATTTTATTGAATACACAACTCTATTAGCTCTCATATGGTATTAGCTAAGCTAGGGTCTTTTTCTTTCCAATGGCTGACGGATCTGTTAATTACACTGAACGGACCATCTCTAATGCTCCTATCTCTTCCGCTGCATCGGTAGTTAATTCTTTATCCACCACTCACCACTTCATAAGCATTAAGTTGACCTACAAGAACTACCTATTTTGGAGAGCCCAGATTGTTCTGTGTCTTGATGGTCACGATCTTCTTGGATTCGTAGATGGAACGAAGCAGTGTCCTCCGGCCACCCTAACCCACGACGGCGACGATACGGCGCCCGCGCAGCTCAATCCAGCGCATCGTGCATGGGTCCGGCAGGACAAAGCCTTGTTATCCATGATGATGTCGTCCTTCTCTGATGAGGTCATGCCTCTCGCCATCGGCCACCGCACCAGCCGGGCTGTCTGGGCTGCTGTGGTTAGTGCCCTCGCGTCGTCTTCTCGCTCCCATGGTCTCAATCTACTTGGACAATTGCAGACACTTGATCAAGGCGACATGTCCGCAGTTGACTACATCGGCAAGGCTAGGGTTTTGGTGGAGGAGCTCGCTCTCGCCGGCCGACCTATGACCCTTGAGGAACAAACCTCTACGTTCTTCGGGGGTTACAGCCAGAGTTCAAGGGTCTCGTGTCGTCTCTCAACGTGCGCGGCCAGCCTATTACTCTCCAAGAGCTTGCGGATCTCTTGGGCGTGGAGGAATTTATGACACGCGGTGGTCCCGATGGTGGCTCGCCGACCGCTTTCACAGCGCAAAAGGGCGGCTAGAAAGGCCGCGGTTCCAGACGCGGTAATGATGGTCGTGGTTCCGGCCAGAACAGTGATCAAAACAGCGGCCAAACTGGCCAGCTACGTGGTGGTGGTGGCGGTCGCCGTGGTGGAGGACGCAACGGCAACTGGCAACCCAAGTGTCAACTTTGTCATGTGTTAGATCATACTGCTTCCACGTGCCATCTTAGGTGTGTTAAGGATCCTCGGGCTAATGTCATATTTGAAGAAACTCCTTCGGATCCTCAAGGTTCCCACACTTGGCTTCCAGATACAGGTGGCACCAATCATGCCACTCCGGACATTGCTGCTCTCTCCTTTTCGGAGGACTACAATGGTAATGACACATTACGTGTCGGTGACGGTATGGGATTACCTATTATTCATATTGGTCATGCTACCTTTAATTCCCCCTCTAGATCTTTTCAATTGTCTAATATTATTCATGTTCCTAGTTTGTCTACATCTCTATTGTCTATTCAAAAATTTGCATCAAATAATAAGGTGTTCTTTGAGTTTCACCCATCTTTTTTTTGTTGTGAAGGATATCAACACCAAGGAAATTATTCTACAGGGCAATAGTTCTTGGGGGCTTTACAAACTTCCCATTCCAAGTTCGTCATCAACTGCGTTTCTTTCAGCTAGAACCTCAGCATATGTGTGGCATGATCGTCTTGGTCATCCTCATCAACGAGTTCTTAGTCAAATCCTTTCATCTTGTTCGGTTAGTGGGTCTAGTAGTAATATTTGTTGTTCTTCTGGTCTATGTAATGCATGTCAGTTAGGGAAATCTGCACGGTTTCCCTTACCGCGTGTTGAGTCCTCTAGTTCGTGTGGCCTTGATTTAATTTACACAGACATTTGGGGACCTGCTCCCATTCTTTCTACTAATGGATATCGTTATTTCGTTATTTTTGTTGATGACTACTCTCATTACACTTGGTACTTTCCTATGTCACAAAAGTCTGGTCTCTATGATATCTTTGATAAGTTTCGGGCTATGGTTGAACGTTCATTTAATCGCAAAATAAGATCCATTCAGTTTGATCTAGGAGCTGAATATAAAAAGTTACACTCCACTTTGGCTCAGTTAGGCATTCTTCATAGATAATCATGTGCGTATACTCATGAACAGAATGATCATGTCGAAAGAAAGCATAGACCACATTGTTGAAACTGGTCTAGCTCTCTTAAGTCGTGCCATCATTCCTTATAAGTTTTGGGATTATACTTTTGAGACTACGGTTTATTTAATTAATAAAATGTCATCCGCTGTGACAAATAAATCCAGTCCTCATCTTCTTTTGCATAAATCTCCTCCATCCTATTCATTTCTTCGTGTCTTTGGTTGTCTGTGATATCCTTATTTGTGTCCCTACAATCATCATAAAATGTCTTACAAGGACCAAAGGCGTCCAAAAAATGATAGTTTGGGATGTTAAGTGACAAAAACGATAGTCTGTGACTAAATTTTGAATTGCTATCAAAGACAAGGGACCTCCGGTGGAATTAACTCGAGAAGAAAAAAAGAAAGGTGAGACGCATAAAGAAGGATTCAAACCACTGACCTTTTAGGAAGAACCTGTGTTTTCTCCATTTCTCTATTTGGAGAAGTCCAAAATTGGATTCTCCAAAAACATACATAAAGTGAAGAATGGAGAGAAGATAGGAAATTGAAGAACATATTTTAGACAAGTTTTCTATTTTTCATTTTCCCACTTATCCAAATTTCTGTTTTTCTAGAAAATATATAATATTTCCATTTTACATTAGCCCACATAGCCTTTCTTGCAAGTGTGAATTTTTACATAATTTTTTTAGGAATAAGGGTCAAATTGGCCACTCAACTGCACATCAAAGTGCAATTAGGCCATTAAATTAAAAAAGAATGCAATTAAGCCATTGAACAACACAAAAACACGTAATTTAGCCCAAAATGACCTGTTTACCTGATGTAGCAAGTTACCGATTTTAAAAATAATTTATAATAATTAATTAATTAGAATACAAAAAAAAAAAAAAAGTCATTTTCCTCCAAAATATACTTATTTTTCTTTGACTAAGGCATCATTTTCCATTGACCTCATTTTTTCCTTCTTACTAAACACTGAAAATCTGAAAAACATTTTTTAAAAATTATTTTCCAAGTTTCGAAAGGCACCTTAATTTACCAAATACCAATAGGAGTTCTCAAAAAAAAAAAAAAAAAAAAAAAAAAAAAAAAACAATAGGCATCGGCAGTCTGACAGCTTCCTCTTTTCAAGCAATGAAAGCAATAGACAATGCTCCCATGACCAGTCTAATCGCACTTCACTTTGGTCAATTCAATTCAGTGCCTGAGAAGCAACTCTCCTCACCTTTCCCAGATTTTCTTCCTTCAGTCACCTCTTTTCACCACATTTTTATTACTCCGTAACGCACAACTCAACACTACAACTCCGCATCTCGTGCACTCCATTGCCTTCACAAATCACGTTCCACTATTCCTCACATAAAGTACTTAATTGTATTTACTTTAATTTTCTTAATTTACTATTATTTATTTTCTTAATTTAATATATAATTTTACTACTTTTTTTTTTCTCTTTTTCTAGTAAACTGTACATAAAATCTAAATTATATCATAGATCATGATTCACATTATAAGGTGTATCATTGACACAAGTTTATTTTTAATATATTAAATGTTCATTTTTAATATACTATATATTTACTTTTTTAAGTAATATACTAAAAATAAATCTTTGATTTACAAAAAAGCGTATAATTGTTACATGAATGCTCATTCTATGTGAAGTCCGTCATGTGACCCTAGTCAATAGAGGACTACAATGAGGTAAATCAGCTTAGATCGTGATATCCCTCAATCCTATTCATTTTTTCGTGTCTTTGGTTGCCTGTGATCTCTTTATTTGCGTCCCTACAATCGCCATAAAATGCCTTACAAGTCTTCTTCATGTGTCTTCCTAGGCTATCTTGAGTCATTTAGGGGGTATAGGTGCATGGACCTTCAGACTAACAAGGTATATATATGCAGACATGTTCGGTTTGATGAGAATGTTTTCCCTTTTAGCAAGACAGTTTTGCAAGCACCATCAGTTCAAACGACTCAACCATGGGCTGAGTCTGTACTTGTTCTAGCTTCATCATCCATCTCGGCTCAACCGGTCTCGCTTGAACCGGTCCCGACCAGCAGCGAATTCAGCCAGTTAGAACCGGGCCAGGATGGGCCCTCGGCGAACATCGAACCTGCGCCTGCTTAGCGATGTCGTGGCATGGGTCACTTCCTATCTAACTAGAGTTTTGAACGTGAACATTATAAATGAAACTACCTTAAAACTCATAAAGGTATTTACGGTCCTTGAGATCTTACTAAACACAAACAAGTGGCCATACACATTAAAAAAAAAATTAAAAAAGTTAATTTCATTTTTTGTCCTAGATTTATAGGTGGTAATCCACTTTTAATCCTTTTTTATCATAACATCCTCATTTGGTTCTAGTATTATTGTGGCATGACCATTTTTGGTCCTCTGTCAACAAAATTGTTGAAATATCGTTAAATACAATGATATTTTGATCTTTTTTTTATACAAAACAAGTTGACCCGTTATAATATTTATGTTTATTATTTTTTGAAAAAATCCATACTTGAAGATCAAAATGCCTTTGAATTTAACGAAATTTAAACTATTTTGTTGATACATGACCAAAAATGGTCATGTCGCAATAATGCTAGGACTAAAAATGGATATTCTGTAAAAAGAAGACTAAAAGTGGAATGTCACCTATAAATCTAGAACCAAAAATAGAATTCACTAAACAAAACAAAAAAAAAAAAAAAAAAAAAAAAAAAAAAAAAAAAAAAAAAAACTACTTTTTCTTATTTGATCACATATGCATCAATGTTTAATTAGTTATGATTTTTTTTTTAAATCATAACCTCAATGTCAACTACAATAGTTATACGTACTTATAAGTAATGATTACTTATAAGGAAAATCCGAAAATATAATTAATGAAAAAGAAAATATTTTTATATTAAAATATAAGTGTTACATTTTCTTTCAAAAATATTATATTTTTTCATATAAGTAATTAACAAACATTTTATTCATGGTTTAGTGTTACATTTACTATTATAATTATTACAGTTGTATATTGACTCAACCCGACTCGTATCACATATAAGGATCCGTAAAACGGTTTCACACAAGTGTGACCCATAAATAAATACAATCAAGAAAGTGGAGTGGTGGAAGTATAACATATATAAAAGTACATTGGATATATAGTCTCCTCCTATGAGAATAACTCTCTCTAGGTAAGAAATGTAAACAATTTCTAACAATCGATCTAATAGATCTAAAGATTAAAAATAAATAAAATAAGGGAAAAAAAAAGTAAAATAAAAGATGTTGTCAATTTTATAAATATTACAAACTTAGAAAGTTTGTAATATTTATAAAAATGACTCAATTCTTTTTTTTTTTTTTTTGTTTTTTTTATCTTATGTTCTAGCCACTAAGTATTATAGATGCATGGAACGAATCGTTGAATCATATAGTGAACACTTTTCATATGGAGTGTAGCATACCCCAACTGGTATCCTTCCATTATAGACTAATTGAGATTTAACTCAGATTGTGTTTATAGAATTTGACTCTTATTAAAAAAGTTAGGGTCTGTTTACCAACAGAAAACTGTTTTCTATTTTCTAACTTTTAGTTTTCATTCTCAGTTTTCCATTCTCTGTTTTCTGTTTAGAAAACTTGTTTACTAACTGAAAACTGTTCGATGTTTCCTGTTTTCTAATTTATCAGTTTTCACCTAAAATTTAGTTTAGATAATATTAATAATTTTTGAGTATTTAAAATATTTTTTTGGATATATTCATTGGAATGACATGTATATGAATATATAACTTTTACTTTGAATTCTAATATACTTGATAATGTAAATAATGTCCAACTTTAAAGTGTAAGCAAATAAATTATGTTATAAGTAAAGTAAGTAGAAAAGATAGTGATAAGTAAAATAAGATGATAATAAATGTAATCATAGTAATGTGATTATAGTGACATATAACTAAATAAATGATAGATGATTCTGTTTTCCATTTCGAAAACAGTTTTTAAGTGTGTTCCAGTTTTCCAGAAATTTTCAGAAATTATTTTCAGTTTTCAAAATGGAAACTGTGTTAGTAAACATGTTTTCTGTTTTCTATTTTCCAGTTTCCAAAAATTTTCAGAAATTTCCTGTTAGTAAACGGCACCTTAATCTCTAATTATTTTTGTAGTTACATAACAGGTCGTTTTGTTGGAAGAAATGAATTAGGTGGGAAATGAATTGTAATTCAGTGGGAAAAAGAATAAGGTGAGAATAATGTAGGAATTCAAATTACAGTGTTCGGTATGCAGGAATAGGATTACAAGGAATTGAAAGGGAATAAGTGATACAATGACTGAAATGCCCTTATGTTATAATAATAATAATAATAATAATAATAATAATAATAATAATAATTATTATTATTATTATTATTATTATTATTATTATTATTATTATTATTATTATTATTATTATTATTATTATTATTGTTGTTGTTGTTGTTGTTGTTATTGTTATTGTTGTTGAATATTATATTGTATCATAATAGCCACAAATTAAACCTCAACTATAACAGCCACACACATACTGAATAAAACAACAAATTATATTGCTGTCATCCTACAAAATTCAACGCTACTTGCTGTATTGCGGAAGAGAATAGATGACAGGGGCAAAAATCCCTTTACAGTCTCCAATTCAATGCTGAATTACAATTTATAAGGAGTCCAGAATTGTAATTTTGCGAATGGAGGGAATTACAATTCGGTGGAATTGCAATTCCCTCTAACCAAGCAACGTAATTTAAGACTTCAACGAATTGCAATTCAATTACAACGAAATTCATTCAACCAAAAAACCTATAAACACTTTGCTTACCAATCACCTAATTAGTGGGTTATAAAAGTAAATAGTTTGGGTAGCCAAACAAGTAGACAACTGTGTATAGTTTAACACTTACTCTTTTTTTGGTGATTATTTTTTTTTTTTTGGTGAATTTGAAGCCCTCAGTGAGAGCCTTATCTAACCCTTAAGTAGGGCGTGTTAAACAGATCGGCAGCTAGGAGTTTGGCCAAACCAGTAGGAGCATGATTCAGGATGTTAACACCCCCAGTCGATCGTTTGACCCCAGTTTGCTAGCCAGTCAGCACATTTATTTCCTTCCCTTTCGATGTGGGTGAACCGGATGTTACGAAACATTGAAGCAAGGTCAAGGCAATCTTTGACTAAGGCTACCATAGTCTCAGACTGCTCTCGTCTGGTCATGATTGCTATTACTGCCGCCGAGTCCATCTCCACCCAAATTTTATCCAACCCCAATCTCAGACTAAGCCGTAGACCCTCCCTTAGGTCCCACAGTTCAGCCGAGAAGCTATCCGTAGTACCAATCTTGATAGCAAAACCCTTAACCCAATTTCCACCTTCATCCCGAATGAGACCCCCTGCGCTTGCCAAGTCGGGGTTGTATTTTCTTGCTCAGTCCGTATTAAGCTTAGACCAGTCTTGTTGTGGCGGCAACCATGCGATCCACTTCCAAACACCATCTGGAGTCCCCCCATGCACCATGAGATTATCGTTGGCTTCTTTAGCCAACTTGTGAGCCGAGATAGCGACCTGGAGCGGCACACCTATCTTGTTGTTGAAAATGAAATCATTTCGTGCTTTCCATATCATCCAAATGGTATAGATAAACATTGTGCACCACGGGATGCCATCCGCCATCAACTTTGAGCTTTGGGCGTTGCTCTCGAACCAGCGGGAGAAAGGTGCGTAGATATGTGAGGCAACTCCTCCCATGTTCCGAACCTGATCCCAGCACTGAATAGCAAAATCACAGTCTCGGAGTATATGATTCGCCGTCTCTTCTTCGTTGTCGCACCTTGGGCAGGAGGCGTCATCTGTGAGGTTCCGTCTCCAACGTTCCATATTTGTAAGGAGTTTGTCTTTATTGATAAGCCAAAGAAACACCTTGATCTTCTCCGTGCATTTCACTTTCCAGATCCATTCCCAGTTGTTATCTTCCGTCTGAGTACCTGCGATTAACAAATAAGCAGATTTAACGGTGAAGGTACCTGAGGTGGTGTCCGGCCAGGTGAGTCTGTCCGTCGTGGTCTCCTCGACTGGGATGGGAATGGCACGTACTTTGCTGACGATTTCCATCGGCAGAACTTCCTCCAAGGCTCCCACATTCCAGATTCGCTCCTCTGTTATGAAGTCTGATACGCATACGCTGTAAGCATCCTCGGGTATGTCCACCTCCGGTTCCAACCCCAGGGGTTTGTCATTCACCCACCAATCTGACCAAAAATCTAAGGACTCCCCGTTTCCTACTCTCCATCGTGCCCCAATTTCTATGATGGTTCTCCCATTGATGATACCCCGCCAGCTCCAAGAGGCCTTTTTCGGGATGCCTGCTGTGAAGAAGTTATCATTGTGGACATATTTATGTTTCAGAGCTTTAACCCACAACTTCTCAGGATTGTTGACTACTTGCCAAGCTAGTTTGGCCAGGATGGCCAAGTTGAAGTCTTTTGCCTTTCTGAGCCCCAAACCCCCCGCTGCTCGAGGGGTACAAACCTCTTTCCAATTTACCGGATGGATTCTTCTTTTAGAGTCATTGGAGCCCCACAAGAAATCCCTGCAAATTTTATCAATTTCATTGCACGTACCTGTAGGGAGGGCCATAGCCTGCATCGAGTAGACCGGGATAGTGGCAAGGGCGGACTGGACAAGGACTCGCCTGCCAGCAACTGTCAGCGAGTCGGCTTTCCATTTTGTCAATTTTTTCCTCATGTTGTCCAAGATATAGGTAAAGGTCCTCTTGGTAACCCTTTTTTGTAGAATGGGCATGCCGAGGTACTTCCCAAGGTTTTCAGTAATCGGAATGCCTGAGATGGCTCCCAGCCTCCTTTTCGTCCTGTTAGGAGTGTTAGTCGAACAAAAAATCAAAGATTTAGAGAGATTGATGTGCAAACCTGACCAATGAGAGAAACCTCGTAAGCAACCCATGGTAGTGTGCATTTGATCTTCGGATGCCTCTCCAAAGAGCATAAGGTCATCCGCAAAGAAAAGATGAGAGACCCCCACACCTCCTCTCGAGATTTGAATGGGTTTCCATTGATTCCTGTTGACCTCGTGTTGAACCATGTAAGACAATTTTTCCATGGCTAGATTGAACAAGTAGGGGGCTAAGGGATCCCCTTGTCTTAGGCCCCTCCCCGGTTGGAAGGGGGGTAGTTTTTCCCCGTTCCAGAGTACCCTGATTTGACTTTCTTTAAGAGTGAAGAGAATAAGCTTGATTAAGCGACCTGGGAACCCAAAATCTATGAGTACCCTTTCCAAGAAGCGCCAGTCTATGCTGTCGTAGGCTTTATGAAGATCCACTTTCATCACAAGTGCACCCTTTTTGCCTTTCTTTTGATTGATGCTGTGGACAATTTCTTGCGTTAGTATGATGTTGTCAAGAGTGGATCTTCCCGGAAGGAAACTGTTCTGGTGGGGGCCGATCAACTTGTCCATTAACGGTCTCAATCTGTTGACAATAACTTTTGACACAATTTTGAACATAACATTGAGCAGAGTGATAGGTCGGAAATCCGCAGCAGTTTCTGGATTATCTTTTTTGGGAATCAATGTAATGAAAGCCTCCAATAAGCTAGCAGGTATCGTGGCTGTGGCCAGTGTCTCATTCACCAGGTTAGTTACTGCGAAGCTTACCTCATGCCAAAAGTCTTGATAGAAAGCTGCCTGGATGCCGTCAGGGCCCGGGCTACCCATTCTTTTCATACCAAAGACAGCGACTCTAACTTCCTCAACTACGGCCGGGCGAACTAAGTTCTCGGCTTCTGTTGGAACCAATTTAATACCGTAGTGGGTAGTTGGTGGATAATCACCTTGATCTGCCCTGCCAAATAAGTTAGAAAATAAATGCAATATATGGTCTTTGAGAACCTTACCATCTGAATTCCACTCGTCGTTGATTTTGAGGGCTCTAATCCTTCCTTTGCTTCGTCTAATGATGGTGGACCGGTGATAGAAACGGGTATTCTTGTCCCCATCTTTAATCCAGGCTCTCCTGGATTTCTGGAATCAGAGCAGCTCTTCTTGAGCCAGAGTTTTATTGAGATCTTCCTTAAGCTTAGTTTCAAGAACTTGGAGTCCTCGGGAGGGGTACCACACCGAATTTTGGATGCCCTGAATCCTGGCTTGCAGTATCCGTTTTCTTTTGAAAATGTTGCCAAAAACCTCTTCATTCCACTGTTTACTAAGTCTCGTCACTTCTTCGATAGCTTCCACCACATTACCATCTATGTTACTCCATGCTTTCTTCCAAATCTCTTTATATTCCTGGTGTGTAAGCCAGGCTACTTCAAAGCGGTAAGGTCTGTTAATCCTTTCTGGGGCCGGGCCGGCATAGCTAACGAATGTGATAGGATGGTGGTCTGAGTGCGTTCTAGGAAGGACTTTGGCTTTGGCTTCCGGAAAAGCCTCTTGAGCTTCAAAATTCCATAAGATACGATCGAGCCTCCTTCTTGTAACCATCCGGCCACCTATGTGCCTATACCAAGTAAAAGACGGACCAATGGAGTTTACTTCTATGAGACCACAACTCTCATAGGCTTCACAGAACCTGGTTAGATTATTGAGGTTCACTTGCTCACTCCCCCAGTGCTCATTCATCTTTGCAATGTCGTTGAAGTCACCTTGCATGACCCACGGCCCAGTAATGGAATCACTAAAGGCTTTACAATCCTGCCAGAACAGCTCTTTGGCTCTCAGGTTGGGCCTGACGTAGGCAAAAGAGTGATACAGGAAAGAGGTCCCTCCCTCCGAAATTTTGCAATGGATCGTTTGGGAGTTACTTCTAATCACCTCCAAATTGAGAAGACTGTTGTTCCAAACTAGCAAAAGACCACCTGCAAAACCAAGCGGGTTAACAATAAAAGAGTTATTAAAGCCCCACTTACCGAGCGCCTTAAGAAGCTTGTCGGCTTTGTTAGTTTTGGTTTCTAGGAAGCAAATAGCCCCCACGTCTTTGTTGTCAAGGACAATTTTGGCGTGACGGATCGTTTTCTGGCTACCAACACCCCGACAGTTCCACGAAACAACAATCATTGAGAGTGATAGGGAGGCAAGGAAGTTGAGACATCGCCTTCCTTAAGCGTCACCAAACTGGGGTTGCTAGTCACGTTATGCTGCCCACCTTCCATAAATCTCATCCTATCGTGATTACCGAGGTTGGTTTGGTGCCCAGGTACTGCCCCAAACACGAAACCCCCATTAAAACCCAGTGTAGACTGCTGAGCTGATTGGTTCATGTCTGGTGTTTGCTTAGGATCACCCACCATATTTGAAGCTTTACCTTTTCTATTTTTCTGGGGTTTTTTTGTGGTCTTCTGTTTACCACTAAATTCCTCTTCCAGAAAAATAGGAGCTTCATGCAAATCACCGATTTCCTGTAGAACAGAAAAACCATTAGTAACAGGTAATGAAGGAGGGGCCGACGGACTTACCTTGTTCACCGGTGGAGGTGCCGGTTTCGTTTTCCGACGTGCAGTTGCCGTTTTGCTGGATTCCGGTTCAACATCAACCACAACTCCTTTCCCTTTTCTGTTCGGCTCTTTCTTTTTGTTTTTAGAGATCGCCGGTTTCGAATGATTACGACCATCCTTCTTGGTTTTGTTACCCTTGTACGATACGATCATCCAAGGACCATATTTTTCGATCGGCGTAGCCATTGGAGTTTCCCCTTCGTCACCCTGTGCCAAGTCGTCAACATTCATCTCTGACGTGGGGTTGGTTTCCGGTACATTCTCCTCCAATGGTCTGTTTAGCTTGCAATGCGTAGATACATGCCCTACCTCACCACATGTGAAGCATATGGTGTGCAAGCCTTCAAACTCCACCTTTTGAATTCGATCGAGAACCCAAACCATCGAGACAAGAGGCTTCGAAAGATCGATCTCAACAGCCGCACGCGCAAACATCCCACGATCTACGCCCGCTGTGCATCTGTCTAGCTTGATCGGGTTTCCCACATGAATCAGAATATTCTTGACTGCATCATCTCGGTAGTATTCTGCCGACAAGCCTGGGAGACGAACCCACACGGTCATCTTCTCCATTTTAGCAGTCTGGGGGTCAAAATTTGGCCTCCATCTCTGGGGAATCACATAACAACCAAACAGTTTCCAAGGACCATCAAGGAGAACGTGCCTATATTCAGAAGCCACGTTAAAGCGTACGATGTAGAAGTTAAAGCCAACGTCTATCATCTCCACCTTGTCGTTGATGTTCCAGAGTTTGAGCAGCCTTTGTTTCAGAAGTGGGAAAGCTGGCGGCTTCCCCAGGAACTTGACAATAAGCGCCTTACGCCAAGGTTTCACAAGCTCTTCGCGGAAAGCTTTAGGAAACTTGGCAACTGGGATTCCATCCCTTACACTCTCCGTCTCCTTGTCTGGTTCGACCACGAAGCCTTCGCCCAGCCAGTCATCGTCCGTCTCTTCCACCATGGTGTCATCATCTAGCCTGGGGGAGGCTGTTGCAGCTTCAGCAAAGGATCGCTTAAGGATCTTAACTCTCTTACCCGAGTGGGGGGCCCTTCGTGCTTCACCTTCCGCCACCGGCTGGGTGGCTGACGGCAGCCCTCCGGCCACTTCGTCCATGGAAGGTAAGTTCCACCAAAGGTGGTTCTACCGGTAACTTGCCAAAGGAACTAGCCACGCGAGAGGAAAGTTAGAGAGAAAAAGGAGAGAATCACTAATCCTTTGGTGATTATAATATAACCTATCAGTAGATAATAGTATACTAATATCTTCTCAATATAATTATATCAATATTCTTGATTAGAATGAGATTCAAATATGTGACATTCTGTTTAAAATAATAACAATAATGTTATCAAACGGTATCCAATATTGTATCGACGATATGATGATAAAAGTAAACTTCAGGTGTGTTTAGTTGACAGGTTTAGCTCTGAAGGAATGTTTATTAAAGTGATTGATATTGTTCGGTTGATAGGTTTTTAGAACACTACTATAAAATAAGGGTATCATCCCCTTTAATTCCCTTATTCCTTCTCATCCCATTTGATTAGTGCTTTTATATATATATATATATTGAAAATAAAGAAGCTAATTCATTAATCATAGGTTGTACAATAAAGATTGATGGAATGGTCCAGCATTCCTTACAGTCAGACATAGAAACAACTTCCCTAGCAATGCTACAGAAAACTTGATTCGTAGACTGTTTCACAAATTTGAAGCTGAATTCTTTGGAGGAACTTAAAGATTCTTTAATGATTTGGTCAAACGTACCCAAGATTGGCACTGGTTGAATAGTCTTGCACACCACCTGAGTATCTATTTTCATTATGTTATCCATTGACAATATCTCCATCGGGTTGAATTGCATATCACGGGGTGTTTGGTTTGAGGGAGAGAATTACGTGAGAAAGGAATTGCAATTCCATGGGAGATGAATTACTGGGAATAAAGTGGAAATTTAAATTCCAGTGTTTGGTTTACAAGAATATAATTACTGGGAATTTTAATTCCAATGTTTGGTATACATGGGAATTGAAAGGGAATAAGTAGTATAAAGTCCAAAATGTCTATTGTTGTTGTGGGCATCAATTTTAAGTTAAAAAAAGAAGGGGTAATTTTGTCTCATAATTAGCTTTTTTTCTTCCTAAAATCCATGGAATTAAAATCCGGGAGGGGGGGGGGGGGGGGGTGTTGGACATGGGATTTTAATTCCATAAAAATAAGGGAATTGCAATTCCTTCCAACCAAACTAAGGAATTTAGTGGTCTTTGGAATTAGGTGAGAATTAAGTGGGAATTAAATTTAAATTCCCTCCAACCAAACGCCCTGTCATAGTTCAGAAGAGTCTCTTTTTCATTGTCATTCAGGATGAGATTCACATACGCCATGACCAGTTTTATCGTTTCACGCTTTATGAAAAGAACTCGCCAAGTAAACGAGAAGAAGAAACTCGTCAAAACAACGAGAGGAAAAACACATAAACTCTCAAACAAAATTAAACCAATAAAACAAAGCAAAGGGAAAAAACAATGCACAAATGAGGGAGTAACGACCGGGAGCGGTGGAGATGGAGGGGTGGGGCAAGGTGTAACCGGTGGCAAGGGCGGAGAATGGAAGAGAAGACGGTGAAGACAGAGAAGATAATGAAGGCGGACGCTGTCTGCAGTGGAGATGGTGGCAGGGGAAGACGATCGAACGCCGCCTCCGATTTGCTTGCTTCACGGAGGAGGCGGCCGTATAGAAATTTGAACGGTCAAAAACCAAAAACGAGAGAGAATTAGAGAAACCCTGTTTTGGATGTCTTTATATCAGAATCAATTGTCTTGATTTTGTGTTCTTGTATTTTTAAAATCTTTATTCCCATTATATGATCATACATAACCAAACAACATTATTGATAATCATTCACATCAGACGTTATATCATGCACCGCGGTGCATAATCGATTATGCACCGCGCGTCAAAACGGCGCCGTTTCTGCAGTTATAACGAAGTGACACTACAGTGTGTCTAAACCGACACTGTCTCACGTATTATTTTTATATTATCAAATGAAACTGCAGTTATATCAAAATGATACTGTAATTGTGGTGAAATGAAACTACAGTATATATAAAATGAAACTGAATAACATTTCACATATTTGAGTGTATATTGTACAATGAAGCTGTAATTATATTGAAATAATCATGTAGTTGTATTGTAATGAAACTATAGTGTATGTAAAATAAAATTAAATAACATTTTCACATATTTGAGTGTATAAATATTGAATGAAACTGTAGTTATATCGAAATGAAACTGTAGTTGTGTTGAACTGAAACTGCAGTGTATACAAAATGAAACTGAAGAACATAGTTATTTTTTGCGAAAATTCTGTTTATTTTTTTTCATTAAATAAAACGACGTTGTTTTGATGCGCAGTGCATAATCAATTATGCACCGAGGTACATGATATAATTTGCCATTCACATTTCACCCTACTACCAAATGCAAAATATTTTCACTAAAACTCATTATCAAGTATTTAATACAGATTCTGATTCCAATTATCATGTGCTAACCAAAACACTCTTCATTCCATCATGGCCGTACTCGAATAGCTCAATAGCCTAGAGATACCCAGATTCGTTTGGAATTTAGTAAAGACATCCTAAATAACAACTTTCATCGAAACATTAAAATAAAGAGTAGACGACAGATGTAGGATGTAGGCATATAACGAGGCATGAAGTGACTGTTTCTCCGCATGGAGATTGGAGTTGCGCCATGTGCCATTTTCTACTAAACAATTAACAAACCTTGTTGTCATGTTCTACCGTTGACATTTTCTTTTGTAAAATACTATTTACTTATATTTTTTTACTTCTAATTTTTATTATTTTACTGTCACACACAAAACTTTGATGTTAACATTTATATTGAAACTCATATAAAAAGAGATGTTTATTGATGTCTACCACATCAAAGAATAAAATTTAAAGAGTAAGATTTAAGAGTTTATGTAGTATAATTTTTTTTTTTTTTACTTTATAAATTAAAGGTTTTCGGTTGCGTGGCGCCACAAAAAAAAAAAAAACAAAAAAACAAAAAAAACAAAAAAAACAAATAAAAAAATTAAGGAGGAAAATATAGGACATGAAATACTTAAAGAAAAGTATAAATATACAAATAAATAAGTGTATATTTATAAATACTTTTACAAATATGTATAAATATTAACAGTTTAGTAGATTATTTATTAAAAATATTTTAAAATTTTATAAATTTAAGATTTTTTTTTATATAAATTTATGAAATGAAACATTTTTGAAATTTAAAAATGAGATTTTCATGCAACATAGGTTTTGGGACCAAAGTTTTAACCCAAAAATAAGAATATCCATTTTGGAATAAGGTTCAAATTGGCCACTAAACGTAACCTGAAAATGCAATTAGGTCACTGAACGAAAAAAAGTGTAATTAGGCCACTGAACACTCAAAAAACGTGCAATTAGGCCACTGAACTCTCCAAACGTATGCAATTTCACCGGATAGCAGGTTACCATCAATTTTAGCAGGTTACCTGCTTACGTGGCAGCTGAGTTGGCATTTTTAATAATTTTTAAATAATTTTTAATAATTAATTTTAATAATAAATTTTATAAAAAATTGAAAAAAATAAATAAAAAATAAAATAAAGTCGTTTTTATTTTTTAAAAATTTTTTTAAATAAAAATTTATTATTAAAATTTATTAAAAAATATTTAAAATTTATTAAAAATGACAACTCAGTTGCCACATAAGTAGATAACCTGCTAAAATTGAGGGTAACCTGCTGTCAGGTGAAATTGCACATTTTTAGAGTATTCAGTGGCCTAATTGCACTTTTTTTTTTTTTCGTTCGGTGGCCTAATTGCATTTTCAGGTTACGTTCAGTGGCCAATTTGAACCTTATTCCTATCTATTTTTGAAATTTTTATTATATTTATCTTTTCTTTAAAATAATTATTCTCCAATTTAAAAACAAATATTAAATAATTCTGTACTAAGAACAAATGTGTAGATTAGTAAGATTATCTACCATTTTAATATGAACCAATATTGTTAGGCCCTTAACGAGAATTAAAAAATGTTGGTGTAACAATACAAAACCTTAATGTAGCCTCATTGTTCCAAATTTATTCAGGGACACATGCGTGTTGAACAATTAAATAAATGTTCAATGTACACGAAAGAAATAGTCTTTATGCTATACAATTCAACCACCTTCTAAAAGGCTCTTGTATATATAGTTGTGCAAACCCACTTCCCAAACCATTGTGGGACAAGTGCCTTTTTACAAATTAAAGCATTTCCATCTTCATTTCCAACTCAAATAGGTTTACTTTGAAAATCAATTTCTCATTCACCCATTATCCGTTTTGAACATACAATATATCAGTTTCTTTATCTCACTACGAAAAGTGTAAATCCACTTTGACATAGTCCAAACCGAAAATCGAGCCCACATATATTTGTACTACAAAATAGCCCCCTCCTATGTCATTTTATGCTAAAAATTCCAACATAACCAACTTGCTTACACTTCTCTACATTTACTATGACATTTTGTGGTGAGTTAAACATTGAATTAAAAAAGAAAAATTAAAAACTAACATAACAAAAATAGTCACATCAGATAGTGTAATTTTGGTAGGGGGTAGGAATCATTTCCACACTAATAATTAGTAAAAATCAAATTCCACTTTTTCCTTTTTTATTTTTTTCAAAATTTGAAGAATTTTTTGATTCATCTTTCAGTTTCCACTAACATGTGAATTCTGAATGTATACAAGAGTTTGGTCCCAGGTGGCTGCTGGAGTGGAGGCCCATTCCATTTGTCTTCCATTGTTGTAACAGAAGGGACCTTTCGTTTCGAGTATTGATGATGAAGATCTTACTATATCTCTAAGGTTTGATTTCCATTTTCCTACTTGCAAATTTAAATTACATTTTTTTAGTGCCCATGCCCACATATTCCACAAATTATACCGTAGATTATAGTTTATTTTGCATGCCTACATATTTGACAAATTTTATCGTGGACCAGAGTTCACTTTATATGGTAGACCTAGGTACATAAAAAAAAAATT